ATAGGCAGTTAAGGAGGGTCGTCTGCTGTGGGGTCGAGGGTGATTCGTCAATTCCCATGACCGAGACCTGGGAAGGAACCGTAAGGCCCGAATGAGAGGGAAGGACAGAGTAGGTAGCCCCCGTGTCTACCAAAAAGGAGACAGACTTACCTGCTACCTGGAGCGTGACCCTGGGCTCAGCGAGGGTAACTGGAGTCGAAGAGCCAGGGCCCCCTCAGTTGTCCATTAGCCCCAGCAGTTCTAGGGCCGGGAACGTCTGGTTCTCAGTCCCCCTGCATTGAGGTGCCGAGGGCTGAGCCAGGGTCGGGCAGTCCGACTTCCAGTGGCCCATTTGTTTGCATTGAGGGCAAGGCTTGGTGGGGGGCCTAGGCTGCGGACAGGCCTTCGCCCAGTGGCCTTCCTTTCCGCATTTGAAACAGGCGCCCGGGGGCGTGTGCTGTCCTCCTTTGGAGGTCAGTCTTTTTGCCAGTTCCCCTGCCGGCCGGAGGGCCCCCACCAAGGCTTGGGTCTGGAGGCTAACTTTCTGTTGCAGCCGCGCCTGCCAGGCTGCTTCAGCCGTCTCCTCTCGGGCGTTAAAATTTTAAAAGCCATTTTTACCAGGTCTTGGATGGGAGTCTCAGGGCCCTCTTCAGCCTTTTTTTAGTTTTTTCCTGATATCTGGGACGGACTGAGAGATAAAGTGAGATGCTAGGATTGTGGCCCCGTTGCAGGACTCCGGGTCTAGGCGGGTGTAGCGAACCAGGGCCTCCTGCAGGCGGTTGAGAAAAAGGGCTGGGTTCTCTTAATTTGTCATAGTTAACCACTTTATTGGAGACTGCGTCCATACCCTGAAGGAGGTATTGGAGCATGAGTTTCCGGCGCGGAATATTAGATCTGGGGCCGGCCTGATAGTTCCATGCAGGATCGTCCTGGGGAACTGCTTCATTGCCGAGGGGGACAGTATTGTCTACTAGGTGGTCTCTATCTGCCTGCTGCCTGGTGGCAGAGAGGATACGCTCATGTTCCTCAGGGGTGAGAATGGAGGTGCAAATTACTTTGATGTCATGCCATGTCAGGTCATAAGTCTGGGACAGGTATCGGAACTCTCTGACGTAGGTTGAGGGGTCAGCTGAGAAGGATCCTAACTGCTTTTCAATCTGAGAGAGGTCCTGGAGGGAGAAGGGGACATGTACCCGCACCAGTCCTTCTGCCCCAGCCACCTCACGGAGAGGGGCCAGGACAGCAGGCGGGGATTGGGGAGTGCGAGATCGGGTATGGGCTGCTACGGGAGAGCCGAGAGGGTGAGCGGGAGGTGGGGCAGCAGGAGCCGGGTCAGGACCAGGGGGGTCTTCTCTGAGGAGGGTTGGGGGAGGCGATAGGTGATCAGGGAGGTCATCAGGCAGAGAGTAAGGAGGGGGGTCTATAGGAGGTGCCTTTGGAGAAGGGGAAGTCTGGACTAGGAGAATCTGGAGAGTGGAGCAGTGTGAGCAAAGGTCAGGGCGGGAGCAGAGGTCCCAAAAAGCCTGAATGTATGGGATCTCAGAGTCCTTTCCGGTCCACCGGCAAAAATTGGCCAGATCCCGGAGGACGTTGAAGTCAAAAGTACCCGTAGGCGGCCAGTGAGACTGGTTGTCTAGGGTGTATTGAGGATAAGCGACCTGGGACAAGAAGATGAGTTTCTTCTTGTGGAGGGTCTGAGAGTATCCCAATTTGGAGAAATTTATAAGAAGACATCCCAAAGGAGTCTTAGGGTCTATTTTGGATTCGGAGTTTCCCATAATTTAGTGGCCTTCCGGACCCCTAAGTGTCGGAGGAGAAAGGGCATGAGGGAGGCGTCCCTTCCAGATACCCGTCTCCGGACAGAGATAGAGGGGTGAATGAAAGGCGTCCCTTTCAATCAGTCCCCCTATATAGACTCCAGGAGTCATGAGGGGAGGGCTCTCGGCTCGGCCGAGTCTAGAACGAGAGACCCCGGCGGGGACACAGGGGTCCGGCAGGAAGGGAAAGGGATCGAATTACTTACGTTTGCAAGCCATATCTGCAGGGAGCTCCGAATTCAAAGCGGTGGAGGGCGGCACGAGGCGGGGAGAGAGAGAGGGGGGACTCTCGCCTCAGCCTGCATGGACTGAGGCGGGTCGCAAAACCCCTCTCCCGGGTTTCGGCACCAGATGTAAGGTAGCCAGGCGCCGCCGGTGGGAGGTGGGAAGAAACCGAAGAGCCAAACAGCCGAATAAGCAGAAATCAGGCTTTATTGGGTAGACTCCGGGGGTCGAGTCCGAGAAGCCGCGCCCAATGCTGGGGTTTGTGATTTTTATATCTGCACCTGTGGCAGCGGGAACTTGTTGTTAGGGTTAGGTCCTGAGGGGCTACGCATGGGGGCCCCTGGAATGTGAGTCTATTGTCCCGGAGCAAACAGTTCCTGGACTAGGACAGGAGAATGGGACAGGAGTTGATCTATGAGTTCGGGGCAAACAGTTCCTGAACCAGGGTGGGAGTTTAGGTTGGCTAAGCGAGGTAATGGCTGAGCAGTTTGCCTGGCGCCAGTTCCCAGGCTCTCGGACAGTGCCAACAGCAATAAAGACTCAATTACAACAAAAGAATGTACAGTGCACATGAGGGGTGCACTTCGAAGGCCCAGCTGGGGTGATGGAGGCTGTGCCACTGGATCCTACAGGACACCTACAACCATAGGTCACCCTATGAAGCCTAGGAGACATAGCAACTCTACCAAATACACAGAAACAATAACAGGGAAGCAGCCAAAATGAGAAGACAAAAAAACATGTCCCAAATGAAAGAAAAGAACAAAACTCCAGGAAAAGAACTAAATAAATTGGAGATGAGCAATCAATCAGATGCAGAGTTCAAAACACTGATTATAAGGATGCTCAAGTAACTTATTGAGACATTCAAGGAACTTAGTGAGAACATCAACAACATAAAAAAGAACCAGTCAGAAATGAAGAATTCACTAACTTAACTAAAAGTAATTTACAGGGAATCAATAATAGAGTAGGTAAAGCTGTAAAGGACAAACACATGACCTTGCCCCCTGGATTTTAAAGGAATGACAAGAACTATCTGCTAATAGATAACCACTGCATTGTATAGATAACCATTGCTTTGTGTACACAGAAACTGATTGTTCCCTCAGGCATAGCAGCTAACTGCAAATATCTGCTTCTTTATGTGCTTGCTTGCTCAAATACCCTTAACCCAAATTCCTTAACAGGGGCTAAGACACCCACCCCCTGAGCTCGGGGCTGCTCTCTTCTCTGTGTAGGATGGGATGGTCGCCGCGCGGCTAATAAAGCTCTCTTAATTTGAACCCAGTTCGGAGTCTGAGTCTGGTCTGTCTCCCTGGTCTACAACAATGCCAAAAAGCAAACCATCAATTTGGAATATAAGAAGGCAAAAAACACCCAATCTGAACAGCAAAAAATAAATAAATAAATAAATAAATAAGGATAGTGTAAGGAGCCTCAGAGAAAACTTTAAGCATGCCAACATTTGCATCATAGGGGTGCCAGAGAAGAGAGAAAGCAAGAACTTAAAAACCTATTTGAAAAAATAGTGACAGAAAACTTCCCTAACTTGGTGAAGGAAACAGACATACAAGTCCAGGAAGCAGAGTCCCAAACGACATGAACCCAAAGAGGTCGACAACAGGACATATCATCATCAAAATGCCAAAGGTTAAAGACAAAGAGAAAAGCAGTTCATTACCTACAAAGGAGCTCCCATTAGACTGTCAGCTTATTTCTCCAAAGAAACTTTGCAGGCCAGAAAGGAGTGGCAAGAGATATTCAAAGTGATGAAAAGCAATGACCTACAACCAAGATTACTCTATCCTGCAAAACTATCATTTGGAATCAATGGCTATATAAAGAGCTTCCCAGACAAGAAAAAGCTAAAGGAGTTCATCACCACCAAACCAGTATTATATGAAATGTTGAAGGGTCTTCTTGAAGAACAAAAATATGAACAATAAAATGGGAATTAATACATATCTATCAACAATTGAATCTGCAAACAAAATGAGCAAGCAGAACATAAACAGACTCATAGATTCAGATAACTTTTTGTTGCTTGCCAAATAGGCAGGGACGGGGGGATGGGTGAAAAAGATTACGGAATTAAGAAGTACAAATTGGTTAAGACCGATGAATCTCAAAGGGAAGGGGGGAAGTATACAAAAACTTCCACATATATACGCATAACTAATGGACACTGACAATAGCCTGGGGAAGGCAAGAGGGGGTCAAAGGGGGAAAAAGGGGGGGGGGGGGCATCTGTAATACATTCAACCATAAAGTTAAAACAAACAAACAAAAAAAAAACAAGCTGAGCCAGAACTGGAGTGAGTTGGTTTTCCTAGCCCCTCAATTCACAGGACACAAGAAGGTGTTTCCTTATTTGGTATACTTTTGTCATTCCAAGCCTTGCCCACAGCCTCGACTCTTCTTTTAGTTTAATGTCCCACTTAACATAAATTGTTTTTCCTCCATGTATCCTTCAGGATCAGCTCAGGTACTTGATCAGGTAGAGTTGAACCGAGAGAGCCCTCTGCCAGCTTCACGCACTATCCCGGTGGCGGTTTCCTGGAGCCCTTGAGGTGTATCCTGATTCCCCCACATGCTATGTCTGATTGAAAGCCTTAAGTTGGGTCACTGTCGCTGCTGGTTCTCCGTGGCTGCATCAAGTAATGAAGTTTCACTAGTCTCATCTGGAATCACCTTAACTGCTGGTGAATAGGGGACCAGGACAGAAAACCGCAGCATATCCTGCACACAAACCCCATTCTGTCCTACTTTAACGTCCCCCTCCGGCTGGAAAGCCGACCCACCTCCGAGTTCCGGGGACGGAACTTGGTGGTTTCATCCTATCAGGGTTCCCACCCAACCAGTTGGGCGGAATTCTATGGTCCGGTTAAACCAATGAAAACTACAGCGCGGATTTGCAGTGGTCTTCTGGGAAACACCTGTCCCGGAAGTCGTCATCCCCTTCCAGCCACAGCTAGGCGGAGCTGGTCTCCAAGCCCGCTGTCCTACTGGTTGGCACAGTTACCTATCACCGGGAGGTGGGAGCGGGCGTGGTCGGGGGCGCTCGTGTAGGCTCAGAGCTCGGCGGGCCACGCAGGGAGCTCGCGGAGGCAGTGTATATTCTCCGGGCTCGGAAGTCCGGGCGCCCAGGCAGGGCCTCTTGGGAAGAAGAGGAGGGGAGGAGGGCAGCTCTTCCCGTCTTTTCCTAGGGCGAGCTGTGGAGGAGCGCGGAGCCTCGGCAGGCCCGCCCCAGGACCTTTAGGGGCCGGCTCTGTGGAGCTGTGGCCCGCGCGGGGGGCACTGAAGGAGGGCCACCACCACCCACGCTGACCCAGGCTGACGGAGGTCATCGCCCACGCTGACCCCGGCCTTTGCGGGCGCAGGTAGGTGAACTCCGCTGGGCAACTGAGGGATTCACGAGACTTCTCCCACGTGTGTCCCCCACGCCCTACCTCCATTGCCAGGATTAAGCCGGATTTTGTCCTTGTCCGGGTGGCAGCGTTGCAGTTCTCTATCAAGCTTTGGCTTGTGCGAAAAGCTGGGCAGTAAATTCGCTTGACGTTGAAGCGGCCATTGCACTGGAGCAGGTTTCAGTCCAGATGATGGCCAGAGAGAGCGTGCTTTACATATTTGGTTAAAACCCATTCACCATCAGAAATGAGACCTGTTTTCATATTCTCTGGTTCAGCTCCAAAGGACTACAGTGCGGGGACTTGAGAAAGCAGCGAGTTTCATAGCTTCTTTTACTTCACTTCTTTTCCGTCTCATTTTCTCTGATTTGATGGAGACGGGCTTGCCATAACCTCTTTGGATAGATGACTGATCCACAGATGTGGAGGGGGTCGTTTTAGTAAGCACTGGGGCGGGGCAAGTTGTTACTTGTGTTTGGAAAGACCACTTTTGCAGAACCCAAAACGAGCCAGGAACTGGGATGGAGAAGAAGGTTGTATCTGAGATTGAATTGAGATGGAGGGACTGAGGTATGTCAGGGTGATGAATGTGGACCTTGAGTGGTTGAAAATTTCAGCAAGAGAGAAAGGAGCTCCCAAGAGGAAATTTTCAAACTCGCATCCAGGAATTCTGCTCTTATAGACTTGATTTCAAAAGTGCAGGAATTTTAAAAAAAAGTAAGCTAGTAATAGGACAGCATAATTTTGACATTTTCAAGGACCACACACGTTCTTATAAATGATAAATTAGGAGTGTGCTTACCGTCAAGACCTTGACCTGAACCTCTTTAAATTTTCTTATTCGTGAAATTGTTGAGTATTACCCATGTCATCCATTTGTGGTAACCATTAAACCAGGTAATGCATGTAAAGCACTTAGCAGATACCAGCTCAGAATATTTGTTGAAGCTTGACTTTAGGTCAATGGGGGAGTCGAAAAACCAAGGTCTGCATCTGGCCCTGAAACTACTTATTCCTAGGACCGTGGTACCTCCCAGCCCCTTACAATTCTTTATAGGAGGCAGAGTCCTCTACCTTTCTCAGCCCTTAAGAATGCTTGACTTCTCCCCAGTCCCATGAGTAATCTTTTATGATTTTATTTAAAAAGTTAAGGCCTGCACCCTGGCCGGTTTTGCTCAGTGGTTAGAACTTCTGCCTGCGGACCAGAGAGTCCTGGGTTTGGTTCCCACTAAGGGCATATACCTCCGTTGCAGTTTGTCCCTGCCCCAGTTGGGGTCATGTGGGTGGTGACCACTCTATTTGCCTCTCTCACATCAATGTTTCTCTCTCTCTTCCCTCCCACTCTCCCTCAGGCTCTATCTGAAGATAAATGCAAAAATGTCCCCTGGTGAGGATTAAAAAAAAAAGTTAAGGTCTGCAAAATGAAAAAAAATTATTAAGTATTTAATTTGTAAGTCTAAGTATATCTACCATTTTAGTAATGTTGTCCTCTGTTAGATTTTTTTTAGTGAAATATTTTAATCATGCAAATAGTTGTACCATATCCTGGAAAAAAAAAACAAAACTAAACACAGATAATAATATTTCTTTATGCTTTTGGACGTTTTTTTTGTTTTGTTATCCTCACCCAAGGACATTTTTCCATTTTTTGTTCAGATAGAGTGGGAGGGGAAGAGAGAGAGAGAGACAGACAGACAGACAGACAGACATCGACGTGAAAGGGACACATTGAGTGGCAGCCACCCACACGACCAACCAGGGACGGGGACAAACTGCAACCAAGGTACGTGCCCTTAGCGGGAACCGAATCCAGGTCTCTCTGGACCGCAGGCCGAGGTCTACTGCTGAGCCAAATTGGCCAGGGCATGGACTCTTTTTTTTTTTTTTTTAAAAGGAAATGTGGCATCTCAGCTACAGTTGAAATTCTTTTTTGCCACCCCCACACCACCCCATAGAATTTCTTTGATTCTAACTTGTCTTTGATTCTAACTTGTCTTTCTTTCTTTTTTTTTTTTTTTATCCTCACCCAAGGACATTTTTCCATTTTTTACTCAGATAGAGCGGGAAGGAGAGAGAGGAAGAGAGAGAAACATCGATGTGAAAGGGACACATCGAGTGGCTGCCACCCACACGACCCAACCAGGGCCGGGGACAAACTGCAGCCAAGGTACATGCCCTTAGCGGGAACCGAACCCAGGTCTCTGTGGACTGCAGGCTGACGCTCTAACCACTGAGCCAATCCGGCCAGGGCCTAACTTGTCTTTCTATTGTGGCTTATAGGACTTCCCTTGTGAGTATTTGTGCTCACAGATGCTAGGTGTTTTCTATTCTCATTTCAGTCAACTGCCAGGTTTGCTTCTTATAGCTTATTATGAGGATTTTGGCTGTCATTTTGGTTCTGTCCTTGTAGCATTTGTTTCTCTTACCCTATTAAGAAACTTGTCTTTAAAACAAAAGAACAAAAAACATTCCAGTTTCCGTAGAGTAACTCATAATAGCTTATCTGAAATTGTCACCAACTGATGAGCATATGCTATTTAATTGGCCTTTATTGGGCCACTGTTTCCTTCAACAAGGTCCACTATCTTTACCCTGGATAAACTTTATTCTCTTTCCACACTTTCAGGAAAAAAATAGCCTTCCATAGTCAAGTATACTGTTTTTTTGTTGTTGTTTTTTATCCTCACCTGAGGACATTTTTGCATTTATCCTCAGATAGAGGTGGAGGGAGAGAGGGAGGAAAAGAGACAGAGAAACATTGATGTGAGACACATGGACTGGTTGACAACCACACAACCCCAACCAGGGTGGGGGACGAACCACAACCAATACGTGCCCTTAGCGGGAACCGAACCCAGGACTCTCTGATCTGCAGGCCAATGCTCTAACTGCTGAGCCAAACCGGCCAGGGGCAAGTGTACTATTTTATAAAATGAGATTTTTAAAATTTATAGTATAGCTACTATTATCTGAACATGTAGGTATCATGCTTTTCTAACTAAGCACTTAGTATACACTGTCTTATTTAATTCTCACATTAAAATTATGCCACAAGTGGTAATATTCCCATTTTAAGATGAGCAAACTGAAGTTTAGTAAGATTAGGTGTTGGTAGCAATTTGAGCCTAGAGTCATCTCTCTGTACAGTATGTAATTGTTTCACCACCAATAGAACAGGAGGTTCAATTGTCAGGACAGAGCAAAGTTTGGCATTCACATGGGTTCTCTTCAACCTTCCTGCCCCACAGCCCCAGCTCCCTCAAGTGCAGGAAGCACCTGGGTGGAGGCCTCCTTCAGGAGAACCCAAGATGGCATCCGTGGACTTCAAGACTTATGTGGATCAGGCGTGCAGGGCTGCTGAGGAGTTTGTCAACGTCTACTACACCACCATGGATAAGCGGAGGCGTCAGCTGTCCCGCTTATACATGGGCACAGCCACCCTGGTGTGGAATGGAAATGCTGTTTCAGGACAAGAATCCTTAAGTGAGTTTTTTGAAATGTTGCCTTCCAGTGAGTTCCAAATCAATGTGGTTGACTGCCAGCCTGTACATGATGAAGCCACCCCAAGCCAGACCACAGTTCTCGTTGTGATCTGTGGAACAGTGAAGTTTGAAGGCAACAAACAACGGGACTTCAACCAGAACTTCCTCCTGACTGCCCAGGCCTCAGCCAGCAACACAGTGTGGAAGATAGCAAGTGACTGCTTCCGGTTCCAGGACTGGGCCAGCTAGTAGAGCAGGCTTCAGCCCTAGCGCTGGAGGGAAACACAGATCTCAAAATCTGGAGACACAAGTTCCTTTCTGTTGTTGTAGGCTACACTGCCCAAGCTGAACTTGAGTCCAAGGAGCTCCTTTCTGAGTATACTTATTTGTCATAGTTGCCTTTTCATAGTAGTCAAATTTTCTATTTTTCTACTTGTCCAGTAGAGACTCTGGCTCTGGAAATTCTAACAAATAAAAATACAAATATTCCTTTTCTCTTGCTTGATGTATTTGACAAGGTTTTAAGGAGAAGAAGGTAGGTTAAAGGCAGTAAGCTTAGTAGAAGGCACCTGTAGAGGTGTGAGGTCCAGGCTCAAGCACCTGCCCCAGGAATAGGTGTGCACATAGGTGTACTGGAGCTGGGCTTCACAGCCATCTCTGCACTGGAATTCCTTGGGACACTTTGAAATTACCTTTGCTCAGGCCACCCATTCCAGACCAACCAATAGAGGAGATCTCTTGGCCATGTGGCTTCTTCCCCTGTTAAATTTTCTTTGATAAGTATGCTAGTTTTGGGGTAGAGTTAGGGTTAGGATTTGGAAAGGGAAAATTTGAGAAGGAAAATAATACTGATGTGGTGGCACTGATGACAGTTTCTTTTTTTTTTTTTTTATCCTCACCCGAGGACATTCCATTTTTTGTTCAGGTAGAGTGGGGGGAGAGAGAGGAACAGAGAGAGAGAGAGAGAAACATCGATGTGAAAGGGACACATCGAGTGGCTGCCACCCGCACGACCGACCAGGGCCGGGGACAAACTGCAACCGAGGTACGCGCCCTTAGCGGGAACTGAACCCGGGTCTCTCAGGACCACAGGCTGATGCTCTAACCACTGAGCAAAACCTGTCAGGGCGACAGTTTCTTCCTAATACTCTTCCCCTTCTCTAGTTACTGAAGCCCAGTGGTTAGTGAGACAAAGTACCCACCTTAAAGAGGACTTCCCAGCTCAGCCTATAGCTGTGTTTGACATATTACCCAGTCCCAGCCAATAATGTAGAAGTAGAAGGGTTGGGCTTGTAAAGGAATATTGCTCCAAAAGACCCTTCTTTCTCTGTCCTGCTACCTGGAATGCAGCTATGATGGCTGGACCACTGGCTCAGTCTCAGCCCTTGGCCATGAGGACAGCTTGGCTATATTCTGGAGGTAGATTTGTGTTGAGCTGGAAGGAACCTGGGTCCCTGATGACCGTGTGAAACCACCAAAATGGTCCCAGTTTGCCTATACCCAGATTTAGAAGTAAATCCTATCTTTAAGCCATTTTTGGTTCAGGGCCTATGTCAGGTACTAGACAAAACCTATTCCCAAGTGAGAAAAAAGGTTTGTAATGGGCACACATTGGATGTGTTGTAAAGGAATGGCACTCTGGGGAACCAAAGTAGGCACAGGTGTGTTTGTTCCCATCAGTGGGTTCATTATCTAATCAGGAGGCATGATATCGAAATGGTAAATAAATTCAGTTTCAAAACTACATAAAGAATTGTTCCACCGTCATATAGATGTGTGTGTTGTAAGATGAGACAAACAATTCAGCTGAGACACTGGTAAAGTACATATGAGACATAAGAGTGAGGTTCCAAACCAAGATGTAGAATTATCTGAGATCCTGGAGAACCATCTCAAGGAGAGTGAAGTGGGGTGGGAGGATTTGTGCAGAGATGGATTTGGAGGGAGATGATGCTGGTCTTCAAATCTCAAAGGCTCTCTCCTTAAGGGGCCAGGTGGAATGCCGCATTCATTACCTCAGGCCTAAATAGAAGGCACAAAGCCCTCAGACAGCTTGATTTGAACTTCCTGGAGTCTGAATCACAGTTCTGCGAAGACAACTGTCGTCCCTGTGGAACAATAGGTTTGGAAAATCAAAAGTATAGGTGGCATATTCTGAAGGCCACTAGAGCAGGCCTCTAGTGGCACCCCTGTATTCATTCTCCCCTACTTCAGGAACAAGGGAAAACAGGTTTTTGATTCAGACAGCACTCAGATAAAAAACAGCCTTCCCTAGACCACCTACATAGGGTGGCCCTGTGACTCTATGGGGCAAGTGAGTTATGAGACACTTTAGGTAAGTCTCCTTAAAAGATTAATCTTTCCTTCCCTCTCCTTTTCCCCTCCCAACCTTAATCCTGTTGTTTGGAAAGCAGATGTGAGGGATGATGTTCTAGCAGTTCTGGGGCCATGAAGCCCAATTCAGCCATATGGAAGGAACAGGAATGGAAAGTAGGCTCTGGGCTCCTTGTCAACCTCATGGAGCTTCTCACCTGCCTTGGATGACCCCCTCTGGCTTCTCTTATAGGAGCAAGAAATACACTTCCATCTTATTGAAGTCACTGTGGTTTAGGGGTCTTTTTACATGTTGTCAAATATAATCATTGGGACAAACTGCAGAAGAGCATGTGCAACAAAGAACAGGCCTTATTTCCTTACTACATAAGGAACCCTTACTACCCAGTTGATGTGGCTCAGTGATTCAGCATCGACCCATGCACCAAGAGGTTGCCGGTTTGAGTCCCAGTCAAGTCACGTGCCCAGATTGTGGGCCCAATCCCCAGTGGGGGCATATAGGAGGTGGCCAGTCAATGTTCTCATCAGTTTCTCTTTCTTCCTTCCACTCTCTAAAATCAATATAGAGGGGAAAAAAAAAGTTGTTTTTAAAAAGAAAAAAACCCGTACAAATCAGTAAGGAAAAAAGAGCAATAAGAAAAATCAGAAGGAAAAAGAATAGCACAAGAGAATAATTAACAGGCAAATAAAAAAATATATATATGAAAGGAGGGAAGGAAGGAAGTGATGTATAAATTCACAATTTAATGTAATAAAATTAGCCAAGGTCTGCAGTGGACACAGGTGGTTTCCCCACATTCATTCCCCTTCACCACTGCATAAGAGCTACCTAAGTGACGGTAAGAGGTACCACACCCCCATCAGATTGACAACAGCAAGGAAACCCCAAACTCGCCAGTGCTTGTCAGGATGAGACCTTGGGGTGCCAGTGTCTGTTGCCTCATAAGGAAGGGGGCAGGGTATTTTGGGGAGAGATTTTCTGGTAGAAAGCTTTTCTCCTGCTCCAAGGTCTCTGTTCTATCCCAACAGGGAAGAGTGGTGAGGTGCCATCTCTCACCTCTAGTGCAGACAGAAGGGACTTCGACAGGACCTGCTGAGCTTAGCAGAAGTGGCCTGAATTCCGAGACCCCACTGAACACAGGACATGAGATGCAGACAACTTGCTACTGTCTCCTAAGGAGGGACTTTCTCTTGATGTCTTGGATCCACTGAGGCAAGGCTGGAAAGACCTTGTTCCCTGATTTCCCAAGCACATGAGGAGCCTTACCTGCTTCCTATTTGGAATGAGGCAGGCATAAGATGGGCTTGAAACTACTCTGGAAAAAAAATGCTTAATGTAAAAGTAGATGTAGTTTAGATATAGATGTGAAGACATCTCCTGGCTGAGCCACACTTGGTTAGAGCCAAGGCCCTACTCTCTGCCTGCACTCTGCCACCATCCTACTCAGGGCTTTACAATTACTATTTAGTTTTCATCTCCCAGCTCAGAGAAAGGTGAGTCAGGTGGTCACTTGCTAGCATGAAATGTATAAGGTGACCGTATTCCCAGAACATTCTGTCTTCTAAGATGATAAGTGGGAGCAGAAAGGATAAAGTTTTAGGCCTTAATCTGCCTTAGGTTGGAGGTGAGCTATTTCACTTTCTCTCTAAGGTTTGCATGTGTGTTAGAGTGTGTATGAATTCCTGTGCATGTGCGTGTTATCTCCTGTGCATATGGGCTCAGCCAAGGCAACACAGCCCCTCCCATCCTACCACAGGAGTCCCACCCACCAAACCCCCCTCCAACCAACCCCAATCCCAAACACATAAAGCTGACAATGTTTCTATTGAGTTTTTATTTTTCAGAATTTCGGAACTTGGGCTTTTTATGGGGCAAGGAAAAAAAGTAGGTTGGTAAAGGAAACTAAACACATCGGTGGCTGCCACCTACACGACCAACCAGGGCCGGGGACAAACTGCAACCGAGGTACACGCCCTTAGCGGGAACCGAACCTGGGTCTCTCCGGACCGCAGGCCGACGCTCTAACCGCTGAGCCAAACCGGCCAGGGCGATATTGAACCATTTAGGCAAAAATTAATAAAATGTATAAGAGAATGCTATTACAGTCTCAGATTTACAATGCTGACAAAATTTGTTCTGATGTTCTGTGCCTCCAAATATGAAAAATTGACACCTGGAGGAAAAATCATCATGGACAGGATCTCACGGGATTGCTTTGTGCCAATGACAATGGATCATATAAACGGACACCTGTAATTGCTGGCAAATCTTGTACACCTAGAGTTTTAAAAGATAACGAATCATCTGCCTGTTTTGTAGTAAAACTCTAAAAAGGCATGGTTCAACTCATTTTTCAAGATTGGTTTTTTAAAAATTTGCACCTACAGCCAGGAAATTTCAAGGCAAAGAGCTTGGAATACCACCGGAAGATATAAAATATTCATCACTTTTATACAACACTCCTGCTCATCCATCTGAAAATATTTTATGTTCAGAAGACAGCAAATTTAGATGTATGTTTTTGCCAAAAACTACAACTTATCCAGCCCATGGACCAGGGGATCTGGCAACCAAATAAATATACTGCAAAAAGATTTTTAGAGGAAGTAATGGTTGTATTGCAGGATGAAGATAATGAAGAAGATACAAGACAGTTTAAAATTCCAATATAAGATTTTGCTACAGCATGAAAAGAAGTGAAAGTGCAAACATTGGAAAATGGTTGGAAGAATTTGCTTGAGGACAAAGACAGAGACTTGGATTTAGAAGGGCTAGAGGTTACTGATTGCTGCAGGAAAATACAGAATACTGGTGAAGTAGCTGAGAAAGATGTTTTACAGTGGTTAGAAGATAACGATGACCTGGGAATTACATTGTGACTGAAACAGATGAGATTATGACCTTGGAAAATGAGTATGGGAGTGAAGATAATAAGGAAGAAACAACACACCCCCAAAAAAGTTACCAGTGATAAGATTGCATCTCCACGATCTAGTAACATTTATTGACAATTCATCAGATAATGAAATTCAGCTTTATTACCCCCATTTTTGTCATTTTAGGGAGTTAATTATAAAAACAACAACAGAAAATAGCACACTTCAAAAATTCAA